AGTAGATTCCACCATGGAGTTGATTACCAGTCTCATCATGGGGAATACTACATCCAGCTGCCCAGCCACTCAACCAGGCCCAGCCAAGTTGACATACCACCTTAACTATCAGAGATGTACTGAGGATTAGTAGGTAATTACTAGGGAATTATCCTTGGCTCACTCAGCTCTAGCCCATCTATCTGTTCACCAAATTATATTAAGTTTCTCGTAACTCTCTCTCCAAAGTATATTCCTAAGCCTGCCTCTTCCCATTTTCATCTTTACTGCCACTGCCTCACAGTTGAAGTTCCTATTTTAATCATCTCTTACCTGGAGTCTTATTAAACCTTCTCAATTAGCCCCTACTTCTTTTTTTCTCCAATGCATTCTCCAATACTAGTTTGGGTTAACTTTTCTTTAATGCATATTTGGTTCTTCTTTTGCATAAATCCCTTCAGTGGCTTCCCACTGACTCTGGGATCAAATTCACACTCCTTACCTGCTCTGCAGGTTCTCATCTCTTGCCATTCCCCAGCTCCTAACCATAAGCTCCAGCAACATAAAAGGACTTGCAGTTCTCCGGGGTTCTGTGTGGGTTCATGCCTCCTGTGCTTTGCTATTCCCTCAGACTAGGATGCCTCTGCTCCATTCCTTATCTGTTGATTCTGACTCATCCTAAGATCCAATTCCAATATTAGCCCTTCTCCAAGCCTTCCTTGCCTGACTTCCAAGGCAGTTAATTACTACTGCCTCTCATGTCTGTATCTTGACATATTCACACTGTGGTGCTCACCACATAATTCTGCAATGATCTGATTGCAGGTCTGTCTTCCCCACTATACTGCATGCTCCTGGAGAGCAGCATGACTGTTTTATTCATCTATGCATTCCCAGCAGAGTCCCTAGACAGGAAGGTACTTAATAACATTTCTAGAATAAACAACAAAACCATAATAGTAATTTAAAAATTTTTAAATATATTGAATACTTCCTATATGCTAGTTATAAAACTAATCACTATGCATGTATAGTCATCATATGTCACTTAGTCTCCACAATACATTCTATGAAATAGGACATTATATGATTTGGATGTTGTGTGACCATAGTATCATACTCTGGTCCTGTTTTTCTTTAAGTATCTCAAATAAGCTTTGTGCCTAAGCAGTGATTGTCAACACACTGAGAGAGATTAGCTTTTGTGCTTGGTCCTCAATCCATGGTCCTCAATCTACATCATTAGCAATTTCTTTCATTTTTGTTAGCCTTGTAGCTTTCAGTGAAGCCCATCGTTTAACAGCTTGGAGAATTTTTTCTTTGTTTTTGAGGATCATCATGATTACTGAGTGCAACATGCCTAAATCATAAGCAGTAACAATTCCCTGATTTTCTACTTTTCTGTTGTTTAATAACCTTTTGTGTCACTTCTAAATTGATACTTCTCCTTTGTCTCTTGCTGCTACTATCACTAGCACTGGTTTTGCTGTATTTGGGAACCATGATGCACTTCATGGTAGTATTTTCAAGAGAGATAATGCTATAACATTCAAGAGACACATGATACACAAGGTTGGATGCTGCATTGAAGCACACGCTGTTACAAGGTAAACTTTTTAGAGAGAAAGTATAGTACAGTACATACATAAGCCAGAAACATAGGTGTTTATTATGACTATCAAGACATATGCATTATAGCTTATAGTTTATATATGTAGCATACCATTATACGCCTGGCAGCACAATCACTATGTATACAAGAGACATGAGATACTCGTGTTGCATACAGGAAGCTGTTGCCTTCACTACCTCCCATTCTCCGATCAGGATTTCTAAGCTCTATTATAACAAAGACAAGGCAAGCTACTTCCGTGGTGATACTGCCTTGGAAACCCAAGGGAAACCCAAGGAGGGGTCTCTATGAGCTGGATCCAACTCAATGGCAGTGAGTCTGGTTTTTGGTTTTTTATTATAACGTTATGGGACCACAGACATTGCCCAATGGATGTCACGTAGCACATGACTACTATGTCATTTATATTCCTAACAACCACATGAGATTATTTCTCCCATTTTACAAATAAGAAAACTTGTCCAACATAGGAATTTAGCAGGTAAGGATTCATTCCAGAGCCAAAACTCGTAACAACACTGCAGATACTCTGAAAGGAAGCTTAAAACAACAGTGAAAGGAGATCTTTTTGACTGGATCCTGCAAGGACAAACCTAGTACATCTATCAACATTCCTGGCCAAATAAGCACAAAAAAAGCTTTTTTCCCTTCATTTAGTAAAATGTCTAAGCTTCTATTGAGATAATCTACCCTAAAAGTAAGGAAAACACTACATGTAAAGTGGCGTAAATTCCATAAGCCTTTAGGACACAGAACAAATTCAGGAGTCTCCATAGTCCTTTAAAGAAACATAAATTTAAAATAAGACAAATTCCCCATATAGGCTAATGACTAAAGAGAAAATAATAGGAAAATTTATACAAAATAGCATTTTCTATGACTGATTGTAAGAGCAGTATATCTGATCTGTCAGCACCTCTACTCTTGTCTAATGCACCTTGGGGTTACCTGTTGTAATGGCCACCACTACTCAGTCGACTGTACTGCTCCTTCTCTTGGTGGCCAGCACGGGAAGAGCTGCTCAGATGCTTCCTCTGCTCTTTGGTCTTCTGCAGGACCCGTTTGTATGAAAGTGTACAAAGCCAACACAGCAATTTCCCATCCACCTGAAAGACCAGGAGAGAAAGATAAAAGAGGGAATACAGTGCAGCAGCTAAGACGTGGGCACCGGAGGCAAGAGCCCCTGGACTGAGTACCTGCACTGCCACTTATGCACTGTGCCACCTTAGGCAAGCCACTTGAGTTCTCTCAGGCTGTTTTCCTTGTCTATAAAATGAGAGCTAATAATAGCATCTACTTTCCAGGGCTATTGCAAGGATTTTGTGATATAATGTCAGTAAAGCAATCAGCAGGATGCCAGGCACATTAAAAGATACTTAATAAATAGCAGCTGCTAATTTTGTGTATTTTTGTTTTGTTTTCTTCTGACTTAGCAAACACAGCCCAGAGCAAAGTTCCCACAAGAATTTCAGAAGACACAAACATCTCCATGGTGCTCATTAAGACAAACTCAATAGGGACAAGAGAAGCTGAAGATGAAATGTAAAATCTGTATTTCAGTTGGAATTCCTTGTAAATGGTTCACAAAATGGTTTGCTGGATACTTTCTCTCAGATGGAAAGAATAACCCCAGAGAAAGACCAATGGGTGAGTAGCTTCCAGGGGCCCAGACCAGATGGTGGCCTACCATGGCACTTCATTGAATCAGAAAGAGTCAACTTGTTTGTGCAGAAGCAGCTCTGTACCAGGGACCAGGTGTAAGGCTAGGAAAGCAGAGTGTAGCTTCCACAACCCCCTGAATTGGTAAAACCATTTGTAGGGCAGCTAAAGCTGGAGAGGAGGCAGCAGGGCTGGCTGGAATTACCCTTGTAGGAGAGGGAACATGCTGGTATTTTAGGGAATTTTATAGTTTTCATTTATTCCTGAAATTAGATCTAATGCTCCATCTCAAATGTGGGTAGGCCACATCATTATTTTTCTAATTGTTTATCTTACTTGTCAACAAAAGCCTCTTTGCCTCATCCGAGCAGCAAGTCCATCAGTCTGAGTCTATTCACTTCTTTCCAACTCCACTGCATCCATCCCAGTGAAGCCATTCTCATCTTTCACTACTGCAAGAGCCCCCAGATGATCTCCCCAGTCCACTCTCAGGCTCATGGCCATACAGCCACCACAGAGGGCTTCTTAAATATCAATCTGATGATGTCCCTCCTCCCTCTAAAACCCAATGGTTTCTCACAGTATCTGGTATAAAATCCAAACTTTTTACCGCTGTCTATGCTGACTTAAATGTAGCTCCTCCCTGCCTCTAAAATGTCATCGCCTTTCTCTCCCCCTTGTTCACTCTGTTTCCTTCTGTTCTTCTCATGTGGCAAGCTCATTCCCACCGCAGGATCTTTTCACAGCTGGGCCTCCTCCTGGAATCTTTGCCTTCTAGAGTGTCCCATGGCTGCTACTTTCCCATCATTCTTGTTTCAGCTCAAATGTTATTGCCTCAGAGGTCCTCCTGACTGCCCAATCTACACTGGTCTACCCACTCATTCCTTTAAGAGATCTTGAAGTATATTCATGTTTCTGTCATTAGCTACTGTTGAGTTGGTCCCCGCCTCATGGTGACCCCATGTGTTACAGAGTAGAACTGCTCCAAGGGGTGGTTTTCTTGGCTGTGATCTTTACAGAAGTGAAGCTGCTGGATGGGTTCCAACTGCTACCTTCTAGGTTAGCAGCCGACAGTAAACCATTTGCACCACCCGGGCTCCTCTCCCAGTCACCCTTTATTACATATCTTATTTTCTCTATAGAACTTACATTAAAAAACCTACGTCCATTTGTTTATTTCCTTGTTTGTTCTTATCCATCTCTCTCTCATATACACAAATATAAGCTCTGTCAGAGCAAGATCTTGTCTGTCTAATTCATTAGTGTATATACTATTCCTGGAACAGTGCCTAATGAGCTCTGGCGGTGCAGTGCCTAAAGCATTTGACTGCTAACGAGAAGGTTGGTGGATCAAACCAACTAGCTGCTTCACATAAGGAAGACAGCGCAATCTACTGCCATAAAGATTTACTGCCTCAGAAACCCAATGGGGGTCACTATGAGTCAGAATCAACTAAATGGCAATGAGGTGTTTTTTTGTTTGTTTGTTTTTCGGAGAACAGTGCCTAGTTATAGACAACAATTGTTAATAAACATATAAATGTACTTTGAGACTAGATTTCAATTTGGTTCATTTCACAGTTATGAAATATGACTTGAAGGCCTGATTTCAAAACACTATAAAGGGTAGGAGGGGAGGGGAGGAAACACTGCAAAAATAAAAATAAAAAAATAAAAAAACACTACAGAAGGCCTTGCTGAGGAAAGAGCTTTCACTAAAGCAGAGTTTGAAAACAAGGTAATTCCACTAAAAGAGAGCATTATATTTAAAAATCACACACAGAACCATAGTACGCTTTATTTTAGATCTCTTCCAAACTTCACTTATCAAGACATAAACTTTAAAAAATTCACGGCTACCCTATGAGAATGATCAAAAACAATCACAGCCAGCACTGATTGAGTACTTGTCATGTACCAGATTCTACTCTAAGAACTTTATATATAATCCTTCATAACTTTCTGCTCATCTCCATTTACAGATGAGGAAACTGAGGCACTCATAGATTAACTTGCCCAAAGTCACACATGGAGTAAGTGACAGAACCAAGATTTCAACCAAGACATTCTGAGTCTAAATCACCCACTTTTAATCCCTAAATTTAGCCTGCCTTTCTTAAAATTATCAACATTTGATTAAGGAAAACTAAGGATATGTAAATGTATCTAAACTCATAAAACAGAATTGTGACTAAGAAAACAGAAAATGAATTCTATGTAACCAGATCAATAAAAACTAGCCCAATAAATAATAATACAGGTATACATTTGATATGTATACTGATCCCCTTTATGTAAATATGTGCCAGGTTCCAAATTAAGTGTTTTATATACTTATCTCAATTAAATGTCCCTGTAAAGTAGTTATTATTATTACCATTGGAAAGATGAGAAAATTAATACAAAACAAGATTAAGAAATTTGCCTACGATCATCCAGCTAACCCTAGGAACGGGAAGGGACCTGGAGTTGTGGAACTGCAAAGTTTGTGCTCTATTATTATATGCTACCTCCTGGTTACTAATTCAGCTTCTCTAATATCTTGATTTAGGGGCCCTGGTTGGCAGGCAGGAGTATCCTAGTCACTGAAAATGTATAGCCTCCCATTGTAAATTAATGAATTTGGTTAGTAAGAGTCAGTGAAGAGCCTAAGAATTGACAAAAGTTTCTGAACTGCGTGCTTTGACTCAACGAGTGTTTACTGAGCACTTACTATGTGCCAGGCCACACATAGAGACCAAGAGAGACAGACAGCTCACATTCTAGTGAGGTGGACAAACATGTAAGAAAAAAAAAAAGGTAATTTCTCATTGTCTTATGAAGAAAGTACAACAGGGTGACGTGATAGTGTTACTAAGGGGGTCAGAGAAGGTATCTGTGAGCAGGTAGCATCTGAATTGATACCTGACACAAGAAGTCAATCATGAAACTCTTGAAAAAAGTGTGTCAAGCTGAAGGACAGCCAGTACAAATGCAGGAATGAGACTGGCATGTCTGAGGGATGGAAAGAAGGCTGGTGTGGCTGGAACAAGGTGAAAGATGGGAAACAGGATGGAAGACGAGACTGAGAGGCAGGTATGGATCTTGCAGGCCATGGAAGGAGTTTGGATTTTACTCTACATGCAACTAGAAGCCAACGGAAGAGGATTTTAAGCAAGAGAGTTATGTAACCAAACTCTACACCATTCTGATTCCACCAAGGTACCACCACCACACAAAGCTTCCCTCTGTGTCATCTTCCAGTGGTCTTTAACTTCAACAGATAGAAATATTTAAAGGGCCAATAGTAAAACTGGTAATACCATTATAATAATACCTTGTTGAAGTCATAATCTCTCTTTTAGAGTTCCACAGAATTTTACTAATATGAATTCACTTATATATGGGATAGCGATCAGTGTAATTTAGGTTCTTGTGAAATACTAAGCGATGAAATAATGCCCCCCCCATTTGATAAATAAAGAAAGCAGAGGCTGAGTATCTTCTTCAAGGTCAGTAACTGAACTTGGATAGTAACGGCAAATTCTTTCTCAATTATGCCCTTTTAACATGCTTGGTCCACCTTAATTTTGCTGAAGGAAAAAAATAAAAAACACAGGGATTTACCTTCTTTCTATCATCCTTCCTGTCAAATGCACACTGCTGCTTGCACTGTTCACAAGAATATGGTGGTCCATACTTCTTCTCTGAATTTGTACAGCGCTGGCATTTATTGCCAATAAATGCTGCAATTATGTTGCAATACTGACAAGGTTTGGGCTTAAAGAGAGGGGGGAAAAAAATAGGCCAAGTAAGTACATTATAAAATACCACAGCATTTTTAAAGCAATGATTATTATTATACAGTCCCTTAGTCATAATAAAAATATATTCTGATCTTCATAAATTTGCTTTCACACTGGTCAAATGAAGTGCATGCAGTTCCTGAAACTCTATGAAGTATTTTTCTGCACAGGGCTATTGATTTTAAAATAAATAAATGAACAAATAACAAAAACCCACTTGTGTGTATGCTGGGACTTTTATGAGAAATTCAATAGAGCCAGCTCTTTGGTGAAACCAGCAAGTGCTTCTGAAAAGGCCTCTTGGGCGTTATCAGTGTACAAACATGTTGGGAGAATGTCTACAAGGACACAGTATACTGAACCATAACACTAAGAGGAAAAAAAAAATCATTCAACAAAATGAATAGTCAACTGTTACCAAACAAAGAGGCCAAGTCAGAGGATTAATCTTTCCCCTCCTCTTTCCATACTGGTCACTAAAGCCTCTCAAGGAAAATTCAAATCATAATCCTGGCAGAATGACCATAAACACACAACTCCTTAACATTACATATTAGCTATGTCCTTTAACAGTGGATAAAATTTTCTGAGAAACTATTTACACACAACTTGTTCTTCTAATAAATGTATTGTAATTACATTAATAGCCCACAGAAATTTAATGTTCAAGAGATCCAAGTACTCACTGTTAGGTACAGGGCAACCCTACTCACCGTTCCGTACAACTGCACATTCTGAGCACATTTCTTGCATATTGTATTGGTTTTACTGTTAAGGAAGAGAGAGACATAAGGCTTTTTGTAAGGACAAAGTTGTTTTATTTAGAACATCTGAAAACTGGTCCCTCGTTAAGTCCAAAGAATATGTGCTAAGGTGAAATACGGTTGAGACAATTGAAATTTGATTATCTGGCCAATGACTCTCCTAATTATTCATTTCCACAGAATATGTGGATATTAATTTTATTATCTCAGATAAAATTGAGCTTTTAAATAGGGCTGTGGTTAAAATGGAGAGTGAGTTATTCCTGAGTATGGCATCTCCAAGTATCTCTAAATAAAACTATCAGCTATAGAGAGGATCCTCATAAGAATATTATGTTAGACTGAAATGTACTAGGGGGAAAGGAGAAAAAAAGTTCTCAATTCAGATGAATAGCTGAACAATTTGGTATGAGAAAAAAAGTGTATGTGTTTGGAATATAAACTCAGAGATTCCACCCATGTTGACCCTATCCTGTCCAAGCTCTAGTCTTTAAGTAATCCAGTTGCTGTCGAGTCAATTCTAACTCACGGCAACCTCACGTATGTCAGAGTAGAACTACAGTCCATAGAGTTTTCAATGGCTAATTTGCTGAAAATAGACACCAAGCCTGTCTTCTGTGTGGACACAAACCTCTCCAACCTTTTAGTTAGCAGATGAGCAAGTTAACTGTTGGCACCACCATCCCAGAAGCGTGAAAATAGAAGCTATGACCAAATATTTTGTCAATATTCCCAATTTCTCAAAGAATTAAATGACATTCTTTACCTTGTAAAGATCTAGAGGCCACAATAATACCTAAATGTCTAAATTAATAAATCTGCCTTGGGGAAACAAGTATTTCCAAATAAAGTTTAACCCTTCACAAAGGGAGGTACAAATGACACGCTTGATGTACAAGAGTAGTTTAAATAACACTCTAGGACTAAAAATAAAATCATGCAAAAAAAAATTTTTTTTAATCCAGGCTATTCTCTATTTGTGATTATTTCCCCACACAATCTCTATGAAAGTGACCACAAAGTTTAAAAAGACAACAACAAAACAACCTCAACACAGAAAACATACCAATTAAATCAAGATACTCAAGCAAAATATTTTCCAGGGCAATTTTCTGCCATTTTAAAAAGGCAGGACAAGAAGTATAGTACACTGAAAAAAACCTGCTGTCTAGAAAAAGAATTAGCAGCAGTGATTCTGTGATGTTGAACGGCAGGTTGGTTTGTACACAGATTTATTATTGAAGATTTGAAAGGTATGTCTATATGTACAAATCATCTGACATCTTAGAAAACATGCAAAGAAAAAGTTTTTCTATAATCCATCTTGAATTTGTGTGTATGGTATTAAGTAAGACCTGAAGTTCATCTCTTACCTCGCACACAAAAATTAATTCAAGATGGATCTTAGACCCAAAAGCTAAAACATAAATCTATTAGAGTGTATTCTGTATGACTGCATTTATATGAAGTCCTAGAACCAATAGGACATAGGTGAAACCAATCTATGATGGAAACAAAAATTAGAACAGTGGTTGCCTGAGCGAAATGAGGGTGTTGGGATTGACTGCGATAGGGTATGAGAGGATTTGAAGGGGTGATACTAATGTTGTTTCTATACAGCCCTTACACAGTTGTATGCTACTTTTTAATACTTATCAAATGATGTATTTAAGATTTCAGCATTTCGCTGTATGCAAATTTTACCTATTAAATAATAAAGCATAAACAAATACAGAATTCTAGTTAATGATACAGGAGCTCTGGTAGCATAGTGCCTAAGGCACTTGACTGCTAACCAGATGGCTGGCAGTTCAAACCCACCAGCCAGTCCTCGGGAGGAAGATGGGGCAATCTACTTCTGTAGTGATACTGCCTCAGAAACCCAAGGAGCAGTTGCTATGAGTCAGGTCGGACTCTACAGCACACAACAGTTAATGATATGCTGTAGAAGTGTTTAGGAACGAAGTATACTAATGTCTGCAACTTTAAAATGAATCAAAAATAAGATGGATTGATGCATGGATGGATAGTAAAATGTAAATTGTGGAATCTAAATAATGGGTATATGGATGCTCACTGGCCAATTCTTTCCACTTTTTGCTTGAAAATATCCAAACAAAGATACCGAGAAAAATATTTCTAGAATGAAAATGAAACTGACTAAAATGAGGCTTCTAGGTCTATCTGTGAGCTTACCAAACTCACCTGCTCAAAGCAGGATCGCCTACAAATGTAGTTCCACAGAAGTGGAATTGCTATATCAATAAATCACTTTGCTATAATAAGTTCCCCAAAGATGTGTGTTAACTCACACCTAAGTGCCTTTCACACTTTTTAAAAATGAGTCATGCAGGAAAAAGCGTGAAGGGAACTGAATTTCAAATGTAACAAGGGCTAACAAACCCTTTTATCAGACTGTCACATTTCCAAAAGTATTTTCTTTTGATGTATAAGTACTTCAAGCTCTGTGTATACAACATACCAGAACATGAAGCTAATGCTTAGCTGTAGCAGGATTGATCTCTGACTGCCAAGATTATAATAAAAAATGATCAAGGATCTGAAAAATAAGTAACAAAAAAAAAAAAAACCTAAGTAATCAATGGATAATAATTAAGGGACAAATTGTGTATTATAATATACTGAGTACATCTTTCAATGTACTATTATAAGAATTGCAGAATCTGTGTATTATAATATAATTGATTAAGGAGCTGCATATTAAAATGTAATTGATCATACATTGAAATGCAATTGATTACAGATCTGCATATTAAAATTGACACAGTGGCTGTGACAATGGGCTCAAACATAGCAAGGATTGTGAGGATGGCACAGGACCAGGCAGTGTTTTGTTGTATTATACATGAGGTCGCTATGAGTCAGAACCAACTCCAGGGCACCTAACAACATGAAAATGCAACTGACTGCAGATTTTAGGTGAGAAAAGCCTATTGACAACTTTCATGGTCAACAAAAACTATACCTCTCCTGCTGGTACTCAGTCCTGCAGTAGGTGCACTTCACAACAGGGTGTGCAATCCGACATTCCTGAAATGAAATGAGAATTTTAAAAGCCAGTTACACATGGCAACAGCCTTCACTTGGAGGCAGAAGACCTGGGGACTGGTCCTAGCATAGTCATTGTGTTTTGAGTGAGTCACTTAAACAAAACGTTCTGGGACTTATTTTTATTCTCTGTAATACTGACACTGCCCTGCCCATCATGCAGTAGTAATGCAGGCATTAAATAAGAATTTATATGGAACTAATCATAAATTGTAAAGCAAATGCATGCTTGAATAAGCCACAGACTGGGAAACAAACCTTGTAGTCCCAATTAGGCAACTGTGATTTTGAGCAGGTTCACTTATGAAATGAAAGTGATAAATTAAAATAATTAGTATTTATGCATGTTGTTGTTGTTGTTGTTAAGTGCCGTCGAGTCGTTTCCGACTCATAGCGACCCCATGCACAGCAGAACGAAACACTGCATATGTCCTTGAAATTAAATATACATATATATGTATGTAGATTTTGTATATATATGCATACATACATATTTTGGGGGGAAGCCCCACCCCCAAAAAAAAGACACTCAAGCACTTGAATTCTCTCATATCTAGTAAACAATAAAAAAGGGAGGTCACACCTGAAGCGACAATGACATACAAGTATGAAAGACGCACAAACTCGGGAATACGAGAGGTATCTCAACATCGCTCTCCAGATGGCTCAGTGACTTTTAACTATCACCTCACAGCACTTCCATTAACTCAAACTGGAAAAGAACAAACTTAATAGGAAAAGAGAACTTAGACCTTCAGGGATAAAAAATGCAGCCGTTTAGGGTGAGAGCTGAAGGCCACCAACTGGATAATGAAAAATCACCCTTTTGCTTCATGTGCTTAATTGTGGAGCTTCTCTGTACAAGCCTTGTCACCTCCGATCTACGACTGGCTGCAGAGTGCCTTAAGGCGCCCGAGTTTGAGACGGTCAACCCAGGTAGCAACCAACTGGAGTTCAGTCCCCAGCGGGGCAGGGGGGGAGGGGTTCTCAGTCTGTAACCAGGAAGATCGCGGCAGAGGGGATGGCACCCTAAAATGACCGCCGGTACTGCTGGTCAGGGACAGGCAGGGGACCAGGTGTCCCCTCCCTGTACCTCATGGGGTCCGAGAAAAATCTCCCGCGGTTGCTAAGCACCGGGACACGCCGACTGCGGGGGACTGGATGGGTCCCGGGACACCTCCACGTGCCCCGCTGGTCCCTAGCTAGGCGGGCGCGGCTCCTCAGCTAGGCGGGCCTGCCACACCCAGCCAGGGGGACCCGCCGGGAGCTCCGGGCCGCGCCTGCTGCTTCCCCAGTTCCCGGCCGCCGCCCCAGCCCGCGCACCTTGCACAGCTGCTGCCCCTGAGACAGCGCCTCGAAGGGGAAGCGCTGGTGGCACTTGGTGCAGGCGTAGAGCGCCGCCATGTCCGGCTCGGGCTGTGCTCAACGCCCCCCCGGCAGCCCGCCGCTTTATCTGACAGTCTGAGACACAATCTGGCGGCGGCAGCAGCGGCGACAGGCTGCAGGTTGCGACAAGCGGGCAGGCACGGGCCGACCAGGGTGGGCGCGGTGGCGGTGGATGTCGGTTCACTGGTTCATTTCGACATCGATCAAGCACGAACAGGGAGGAACGCGGAGCTTTTGAGGACTCTGATTGGGTCTGAACTGGAGTACGCCACTTGTGACGCTCGCGGCCGCGATTATGTAAAGCGCAGTCACGCGGGGGCACCGCCTGGAAGGGCGGTCTCGCGACCGAGATCTCGGAAGCGTCGGGAATCCTCCCACTTGGCTCTGAGTTCCCGCCCTCGCTCCTCCTCTCTCTGGCCGCTGGCGAACACGCGGATCTCGCGAGACCTCTATGGCGTTGTAATGTTTTGGTTTCCATGGAGCTGCCCTCAGGGAGCGGGAGGGGAGCGACGAGGTCGAGCACAGCGTTCTGTCGTGCTACAGCTCGGTCACCACATCGAGATGGTGGGGACCCTGTGAGAGAAACCCTTCAGCACCTGCACAGGACGAGGACGGCCCAGCTCTCCCACCCGAAGGAGAAGAAGAAATCCTAAGGGGCGATTTAGAGGGACCCCTCTCTCTGAGACCCCTAAAGGAGAGAGAATTCTAGGGCCCATGACCTCCAAAGAGAAAGGCAGAGCCCCAGAGAGCACCCTTTTGCTTCTGGAAAGGAGTACTAGAGAGATGGCAGTCTCCCGAGAAAGGAAAGAATGGATATTAAGGCGAGGCCCTCCATACCTGAGTACCCCGTAGGGTGGTATGCAGTTGGCCGGAGGCCCGCTCCCTACCCTCTTTTCTCCGGTGCACCCTAAGCTTCCCTCAGCCACCTGCAGTTTCCCGGCAGGGCCTGGCCACCCGGAAAGCAAGCCACACCCTCCTGGCTCTTCTGCGCCTCCTTGGCTCCTAGCTTGGCGCGTCAAGGGTCTGCCTGGCGAATTACTAATTTACTGAGGCTTTGGCTAAGCTTCCTGCAGTGCTGACCTTTCCAAGTCCCTGCCCTGTAACTGCTCTTGGGCTTAGATTACTTCTGGCTCTGCCAACCGCCTCTACAGTACTAATTGCAATTTTACCTTAACGTGAGCTTTTTACAGTTGAGAGTACTTACGGCTTCTTGGTCCCAGCTCAACAATAATTATTATCTTTGAAACGCAAATCCAGCCTCCTCCTTGGGGGTCCCCCAGAGATGTATATTCATCATAGATTTAGACTCGAGTCAGAAAACAGAGGTTCCAATCACTGCTCCACATCTACTAAATATATAACTTTGCCCCTATCACTGAGGAATCCCTGGGTGGCACAAACGGTTAAGCGCTGGACTTAAAAAAAAAACACCAAGCCCCTGCACTGGACTACTAGCTGAAAAATTGGCAGTTTGAACCCACTCAGAGGCACCTCAGAAGAAAGGCCTGACAATCTGTTTCCAAAAGGGTACACAACCTAGAAACCCCTATGGAACAGTTCTGCTCCGAACGCATGGTCACCAAAGTCAGAATTGACTTTACAACAACTAACACCACCACCCATTACCTGTCACTGAATTTCTCAGAAGCTCACTCTCCTCAATTGTACAACTGGGTCATTGTGAGAATCAAAACCAGTACATAACCTCCCTTCTACTCATGGCCTCGCTGCATTCCTATTCCCTCTGACCTCCACTGTAACACTTACCAGTTTTGGCATGTTTACTCCCCCCCCCAAAAAAAAAAAAAAACAGTGGCCTTAGGAAAGAGAAGGATTATATCTAAGTCATCTCTATCCCCTTCACTCAGTGCATGGCTAACTGATTCATTTATTCACCAAATTTTATCTGCCAAGCTCTGGTTTACGCACTGGGAATACACTGGTGTGTAAAACAGACCTGATCTCTGCCCTTGTAGAGCTGACAGTATAGTCAAAAAGAGAGCAAAAAAACAGGGACTATAAATGTACAGTGCAGAGATAGAGACTAATGCTGGGATAAGGGACAGGGTAAGATAGAGAAGAGCAGGGAAAAACTGCTCCGAGGAGGCAACAAGACCTGAAGGTCAAGAAGGATTTAGACATGTAATTTAGCCAAGAATATTCTGGGCAAAGGAAAAGGTGAAGAGCTTGAGATGGAATAGAGTTTGGCATGTTCAAGAATGGAGGGAAGCCTAGTATGACTGGTTCTTCCGGAGGCAAGAGAACCAGCGAGTGGAGAAGTTGACAGGGGCTATAGGAATGGAGCCTGTAGACCCTGATAGGGAGGTGGATTTTTTTTTTTTTTCCAAACTACAGTATATAGTGTACAATGGGAAAGAAACATTGGAAGTTTTTAAGCAAGTAAGTATCCTGATTGGATGTATATTTTAAAAAGATTTGTCTGGCTGCTATGAGGAGAATAGACTGCAGGGAGCCATAGTGAACACAGAGAGATCAATGAGGAGGCTTTTGGACACACAAGGAAAATTTTACTGAAAATAATTTTTAAATGATTGTAGCAGTATATTGACAGTAACTGCCAGAAATTCAAGCTGGATACAGAAGAGGACATGGAATGATGGATATCATTGCTGATGTCAAATGGATCTCGGCTAAAAGCAGAGGATAATAGAAAGATGTTTATCTGTGTTTTATTGACTATACAAAGGCGTTCAACTGTGTGGATCATAACAAATTATGGATAACATTGGGAAGAATGGGAATTCCAGAACACTTGTGCTCATGACAAACCTGTACTTAGATTAAGAGGAAGTTGTTAGAACAGAACAAGAGGATAGATACTGCATGGTTTAAAAATCAGGAAATGTGTGCATCAGAGTTATAGCCATTCACCATACTTATTCAATCTGTATGCTGAGCAAATGAGCTGAGAATTTGGACTGTATGAAGAAGAACACAGTATCATGATTGTAGGAAGACTTATTAACAACTAAGATATGCAGATGACACAACCTTGCTTGTTGAAAGTGAAGATGACTTGAAGCACTTATTGATGAAGATCAGAGATTTCACTGTTCGGTATGGATTACACCTCAACATAAAGAAAACAAAAATCCTCACAACTGGACCATTAAGCAACATCATGATAAATGGGAGAAAAGATTGAAGTTAACAAGGATTTCATTTTACTTGGATCCATAATCAATGCCCATCAAAGCAGCAATCAAGAAATCAAATGACATATTGCATCGGGCAAATCTGCTGCAAAAGACCTCTAAATAAATTCTTTTATTAAAAAAAAAATTGTGATTTGAGTGAAAGTGTACAGAGCCAATTCATTTTCCATAGAGCAGTTCACATACACTTTGTCTCATGACATTCTAAATAAATTTTTAAAAAGCAAAGATGTCACATTGAAGACTATGGTACACTTGACCTAAGCCATCATATTTTCAATAGCCTCATACACATGTGAAAGCTGAACAATGAATAAGGAAGACCAAAAAATAATGGATGCATTTGAACTATGATGTTGGTGTTGTTGTTGTTGTTAAGTGCCATCGAGTCGTTTCCGACTCATAGCGACCCCATGCACAGCAGAATGAAACACTGCCCAATCCCGTGCCAGCCCCACAATCCCTGCTATACTTGAGCCCATCATTGCAGCCACCGTGTCAATCCATCTCGTTGAAGGCCTCCCCCTCTTTCGTCGA